CGGGGCGGCAGCGGCCGTGCGGCCCTTCCCCAGAGGGGCTCCGCGGCCCCTTTCAGCCCTGCGCCTTTGTGGGGAGGTGGCGGCGAGTTCAACGCTTCAGAGACCTTTAGCAAGGTCTGGGGTTCCAGAGTAGCGAATGAGTTAAGGGAAACGCTTTACTCGATAGACAGAAGCGTTTGGTTAGGTCGAGTCGCGGGGGGATGTTCAGGGGCACCCCTTCACGCTGTCAGATGCTCCCCGAAAGTCCCGCTGTGCAGAACAGAGAAGAGAGGCAAGTCGAGTAGAAACGATCTTCGCTGTGAGAATTTACAGCTTAAATCATTTTCCTTTACCGAGCCAGGGCATGACTTTTGTTTTAAACGTTTGCAAACATGCTACGAAAAAAATGGAAAACCAGACAAAATATTTGTAACTAACACAGTTTGGTTTTTCCTCCCTTCCTAATGTAAATTCTTGCAGCGTTTCAGACAAGTGTTTTTAATCCCCAAAAAGTCACCTTAATTAGGGAAGGGGGTCAAGATGCATATTTTACTTAACTGCTTTTCCTTCTCCCTCATAATCTTAGTCAGTTGAAGAGAATGTTTTGCTACAGAGATTAGATTTGGGGTGTCACTATTTTGTAAAGAGCAACGTATTTGAAACATTTTTGGAGACCTTGAAGAAACTTGGAGGTTAATCCTTGCTTTCACTTGAAAATGGTCCCATACCTGCAAAGACAATAAAAAAACATTAGAAGTCGGGGGCTTGATATCTGATCAGAAAGAATCCTGCAGAAGACTTGAGAGGAAGAAGAGCATTTCTTAAAAAAATGTAAACTGAAATAATCAGTCATGCCTACTGACTCTCTGTATCTGCATTGCTGCATCCTTTGTGAATTACATCAAGTGAAGCCAGACTTCCCACACAGGGGCACGAGCTGTCTGATGATTTGGGGTATTTTTTGCAGTCCTTGTTGTACATCCTCACTAACTTATTGTACGGCTGTGGGTTGTCCTAAGAAAAGGAGAGCCCAACAACACAGTCATCCAGATAATTAAGATTCCATATATTTTTCTCAGCAGCATTTTCCCAATGTCCTTTACATCACAAGTGTATTTAGATTGCCTTGTACCTCCAGCATACCCTATCCTTTGTCTCAGAATTCACGTTACTATGAAAACAGTTCCTGGCAGATTCATTTTTAATATTTTAAATTCAAGGTTAATCCGTTCTGATAGGAATAGTAAATACCTTTCATGTGTTTTAATTGGATTATTTTTTTTAAACACAACTATTTTCAAGTTATTATTTGCTTAGGAGTTGTATGTTAATATACACTGCCTTTTTAGGCATTTATCTCCAAAAATGTTCTAGCATGTATTTTTTATGGACTGTAGTTTTTTCATGGCTAAAAAGTAACAATATGAATTTGAACCATCTTATGCTTCTGGTTCACAACAGCTATTCAAAACAAAATACTAAGGGTTCCTGAAGTTTTAAAACAGTTTCTCTTTCCGTCTAACAGTTGTTCTGCCATGAGCTGGTAGTGCACACATGGTTCGTTCAGTATGCCCAGATAAGGTTTGTGTGCCCTTGATTATCAGTGATTCACAGGGCTCACGTATAAGCACAAGTTGGTCAAAATATTTGCTTTCCACATGTACTGAAACCTGCATGTCTTCATCATCCTGTAACCTCTGCCAGCTGTGAATTTTTTTAAGTGGTAAAAAAGTTTCATTTTGTAACTGTGTCCAGTAGGTTGTTTTTCAAGCAAAAGGAGAAACAGTTGTCCTTGCACACCAGCTAGCTAATGAACAGCTTTGAACACGTGCTTTGCATTCTGACTTTTAGCTGAATGTTTTTCCTATTTCAGTCTCCAAGCCAGCACCTTACTGGGAAGGAACAGCCGTCATTAATGGAGAGTTTAAAGAGTTGAAATTAACGGATTATGAAGGAAAATATCTTGTCTTTTTCTTCTATCCTCTTGACTTGTAAGTATGACCAGTGTACATACCAAGACTGAGTGCAGCTGCACTAGACTCATCGCTCAGTAATTTTCTTTCAAGGTCTTGGTTTTTTGTTTGGTAAGGGTTTGGGGGAGAAGAAAGGAGTAACAGAAGAAAATACATTCTTTGCATTTGTGCTTTCTTCATGCATTGATAAAATTGCAACCCAATCTTTGTCCTAATAAGTGTGTCCACTAATTTGTCTCTCCACACAAAAAAATAGCTTTCAGTCTGTAGTAGCCAGTCAGGCAACCTTTACTTTCTGTGTGTAAATCACTCCTGCAAATAGAAGACAGCACCCCATCTATATTTTTTAGAGTGTATGTAGTATATCTAAGAGGTGGCATTTTCCCTTTAAGCTCATCCATTAACATCGTAAAAACACTTAATCATTACCCTTCTTTATTTAGAGTACTTAACTGGCTGAGTGAAAACATCTCTGCTTTCTACCAGACAATCCCATTTCTTTCCACAAAATGAGGAAAAGAGGGCAGAGATGCATAACTGCCATAATACAAAGGAAATAAGGTGGCTCTTGGCCCTTAGCTTCAAGGCCCTGGATACTGTGATCTTTACCACTTTATTTCTTCTGTAGTGGAGTCAGTTCACGTCAAAACAGTTAAAACTTGCAGACATGCACAGTAACAACAAATTATAGTATGTACCTCTGAAAAAATTGGCTAATTGTGCTTAAATTCAAGCACTTAATGTTCATAAAGTCTAAAAGAAAGTAAGTGTAAAAACACTTGAATCCAGATTGTAAGCCAACTGTAGGTTTATAATCTTCAGTAATAAATCATTTTTAACTAAGCTGGAGTCTAAGGCTGGAAGACTTGTCAGGCAGCATTTCAGTTAAGTACTTGAAGAACCAATAAAAATAAGTAAAAGCTGAAATAATTTATGATAAATACACCATTTTGTTAAACAGAGAACTTACTGGATGTTTCATAAAATTTTTTACTCTATCTTGTCTTAAATTATCTAGTACATTTGTATGTCCAACTGAGATAATCGCCTTCAGTGACAGAATTGAAGAATTCAGAGCAATAAATACCGAAGTAGTAGCATGTTCTGTGGACTCAAAGTTCACTCACTTAGCATGGTATGTATCTTATCCTTGTCTTTCTCTAAAAGTTACTCATGGGTCTATCTTAGCTGAAGAACGGTATCCCCAGATTTTTAACCTATGTAGTTATACCATAATGTGTAAAAGCGTGACTCTATTGATACAAATGTTTAAAATATTTTTCAGTGGTAAAAATTCTTAACCCTAGTGCAGGAAAATACCTTTATCTTTGAAGCTTGTTTAATATGTATTGCCTGAAATACATCATGTCTCAGTCCAAAAAATACTGCATATACCAAAAAGAAAGACATAAGGATGCAAGTGCCTGTAAATGCATCACACTATCCCAATTCATGAACACATTGGTATAAAGCAAATATGACTGATAAGAAAGAGGTCATTATTAATAGATGCAGCCAAAAACAGCCAAAAGATCTACTGAACATTTTGCTTGAACCATAAATAGTATTGTTCTCTGTTGTGTGCAGAACAAAAAAAATGTCGCTTGCACTAAATCCTTCTGTCTGTACTGTTCTGGTTTGTGACTTCTAATTTTGTGTAGGGAATATAAATATTTGTGAGAAATACATCTGTATTATTTCTTTCAAAGGATTAATACTCCTCGAAAACAAGGAGGACTTGGACCTATGAAGATTCCACTTCTTTCAGACTTGACACACCAAATTTCAAAGGATTATGGAGTATATCTGGAAGATCAAGGGCATACACTTAGGTATTTCACTTGATGAGAGTTTGTTGGGATTATTTTTTTGCCGGGATAGTACTTACTAATCTATATCTAAAGGAGCATTTGAAATCTTTCTTTGAGAGCATATTTTACTTGGGGATTCATGCCGAGAGACAAAATAAATATTGAAGAACACAAAAAAATAGCCCTAATGGGTCAAAACAGGGGTGGAGGTTAATATCCTATTTACCAGCAGTCATCAGCGGGTACCTAGGGGAGGGCAAACATGCAGAATTCCCCAGAATTGCAGTTACTCAGGGACCCCCAAATCCAAGTGGAGTCAAGACTGAGGGTAACTAATGGCCTCAAGAGAGACATCTTTCATAAACTTGATTAGTTGCTTTTGGGATCCCTGTAACATGATAACATCTGCAACATCCCCTGGCAGGGCCTGTCAAAGCTTGGTTTTATGTTCTGCAGAGAAGTATCCTTTTTTTGTTTTTAACTTACCCTCAGCTCATGTCATCTGATACCCCAGGTAAAGAATAGTAGGTTACTAGTATTCTAAGGTGGTGGGTAGTGGATGGTGTTTGCAGAGATCAAATTCCTCCCATTCAGCAGACATGAAATAGTGCTTAAACACAACACTGTAATTAGTTCTGTTTCCTAACACACACAAAAAAAATATTTTCACAGAGGCCTTTTCATTGTTGATGATAAGAGAATCCTTCGACAGATCACGATGAATGACCTTCCTGTTGGGAGATCAGTGGATGAAACGCTTCGTTTAGTACAAGCATTCCAATACACAGACAAACATGGAGAAGGTGCTCTTTTAAATACTTTCATGTTGAAGATTGTTTTGCTTAGACTGGAAGCTGTATTTGTAGCTTTTTGGAAGAAAGGTACTCAGCAGCATTAGAGACTAGCCTTATGCTACAAGATTCTGTGGTCCCCATACCTCCATAGGTTGTTTCTAGAATAGTAGTTCACATTTTGCTTCATGTCCATGAGAATGCAGAGCATAAAGCATTCCTTAGTCTGAATTAAGGCATTCTGTACCATTGTCATGGTTTAACCCTAGCCAACAGCTGAGCCCCACGCAGCTGCTCACTCACTCCTTCCCCCTCCCAGTGGAAAGGGGAGATGAATCCAAAAAAAAAAAAAAAGTAAAACCTGTGGATTGAGATAAGAACAGTTTAATAACAGAAATAAAATATAGTAGTAATATAATAATAGTAACGGAATATAATAATAATAATTGTAATGAGAAGGAATATAGCAAAAAGAGAGAGAAATAAAACCCCAAGAAAAAAGTGATCCACAATGCAGTTGCTCACCACACACTAACCAATGCCTGAGCAGCAATCCGACCCTCCCAGCCAACTCCCTCCATTTATATTCTGAGCATGACATATGGAATGGAATATTCCATTGGCCAGTTTGGGTCTGGTGCTCTGGCTGTGCTCCCTCCCAGCTACTTGTACACCTGCACACAAGCAGGATGCAGGAAGCTGACAAGTCCTTGATCTCTTCATAACAACTAAAAACATCAGTGCATTATCAACATTCTTCTCATACCAAATCCCATACTGAACCCAAACCACAGTACTATTCTAGCTACTAAGAAGAAGAATTAGCTCTGTCCCAGCCAAAACCAGGACAACTGTCTGTCAGAAGTGTAAGTCTGTACAAAATGCGAGGCTGTGAAGAATCAGGCCAAATACTTCTGTTCCTGTTGGCAGTACAAAATAATTGAGATGCAGGCCATCCTTGTCCTGGGTCATTCATTGGGGATCTGTGACAAGTAATTAAGAGTGCTTCATGTCAAGATACATGGTGATACTGTGAAAGTTAGACTGCCATCACCTGTTTTTGTTACAAGTCCTATGTGATCACCTTCCCCTGACAAAGAAGGTTTCACTGGCTTCAGATCATTACTTTTTCTCAAGAATTCATATTACCCCAGTTCAAGCATAGGGTGAACTTTTCACATTTCTTTAAATAATGTGGTTAAATAAACACAATGATTTGTTTAAATATCAATACACATGTTCACCAGCTTAACTTCCATTTCAACTCAATTTCACCTGGCATTTTAAAGTACCTTTATCCGTAGGAACAAGTCATTACATGCTTTGCTGTACAGATTTAGAAAGATAAATGCTGATACTTAGGCTATGCACATGTAACTAAGGAAATTTAGCCTCTTTACTTACAAAGCTGTCTTACAGAATACTGATCTGCAGTGTGTTTCCAGAGTACCACATTTTTTTCCAGCTCTACGTGGAATCTCACTGGCTTTTGTATGCCTTCCTAGGCACCTTACTGAATTCTTTGCACAGAACACAGAAAAAAAATTGTCCAAAATTCCTAATTGCATTTGTGGTGCTTTGTCTAACAGCATGCCTCAAAGCAGTGTAATAAGGCATAACTCATTGGGCTAAAGCCTCAGAGGGAGAGCTCTGAACAGATAAGAGCTTCACTCCAGAATGTGTGACTGTGCAGGTGGTCTAGGGGCTCTCAGGCACACTGCATGTTAACCACATGCTGTAATCCCTTTACTTTGGAGAAAGGCTCCGAATAAAATCACTCAGTCTCTTGTGGAATCTTTGAACTGATTTCTTTGCTTAAAAAATTTACCCTAGCATTGGTTTTAAAGAAAGAATGGTAGGTCTCCTTGTAGTCACCTGAATTTTATCATGAAACTTTTGTTTCAACTAGAAGAGGTGTTCATTGTCAGATACTGCTTTGCCAGTATTTGTCTAGAGGGGCCTGAGAATTAAACCAAGGCATAGGCATCCATCCAGAGATACGCAGCTTCCAGGTAATGGAAGTGGTAGGTGGTATCAGGTATAAAATGTTATGACACTATCCCATGTATAAAGAAAACTGCATATTTAATAGTTGCAGGCATTTACATGTGACACCTGTGTGCTGTTTTAGTTTAAGTTCAGAAAGAGAATATTGTGCTCAAAAATAAGCATGTCTAAAACCACGTTTAACATTGTGTTTGGTTTTGGTTTTTTTTCCAGTTTGCCCTGCTGGTTGGAAACCTGGCAGTGAAACAGTAAGTCACTGTTTTTATTTAAATGCACATACTACTGAAAAACACTGTTACCATATCCAATAAAGCCAAATCCAAAATCTTTGCAACTTTCAATGAGATGATAGGAGTATACTCACATTATTATAGTTACAGCTTTTGGATTACTACTGATTTAATTAGGAGCTCATTTCCTGCACACTAGAAATATTCCAGTTGTTTCACATTTCCTGTGTGTGAACAAAAACACTTGAGCAGCAATGAGTTCATGATCAAAAACTTTTTTTTTCCTCTTACCACCTGATGAGAGAGGAAGTTGAAAACTCTTGAGGCTGTCCTACCTTCTCGGTTATTTGTCCATATAAATTGTTGAGTCTTACTGTGGATCCTAGGCACTACCCAAAAAAATAAAGGTACAAGTTCCCAGGCTGCTGTAATATCTGACAGAGCCTATGTGCCACTGTCAGAACTCCAGCAGAGAGCACTGCTTTGCTGTGCAATAGCTCTTCCTCCTTTGTTACTACTCACCTACATGTGACTACAAGCAGAAGAGCTAGGCTCCAGATAAACACTCATTGAACTTGTTTGTGTTCTCTGACTTGGATCAAGCCTCAGCAGAATAATGAAACTTTCACTAGAGGTCTGAGCTGCCTAGTTCAGATGAGATCACTGTCATTTATTTGAGCATGTGGCTTTCTTCTGAACCATCTGGTGATGACAGAGTGTTGTTGTTTAAGAGCTGACTCAACAAAAAGTAGGTCCCAGCAGCCTCTTAAGAAGGGTAGTGAGCGTGGTAATTGATAATAAAAACTGTGGAATGTTAAACCATGTTTCTTTGCTGGATGTGAAAACTTCCCAGGATGACTGGAGGCTAGGAGTCACCTCTTTCAAGCTAGCAGATGAGTGTCTTAGTGAGGGAAGCTGGATATTAAGACTGTAAAATGAAAGCAGGCTGGCTGGCCTAACAGACATATCTTGAAGTTCTGCCCTCCATAACCATGGGTCACTTAAATAATACATTATCATATTTTCTAAAAAACAGTGCATCTCCAATACTACCAGTTTATAAAGATCTAAGCCAATACATAAGCATTTTCTTTATCCTCTGTGCAAAAGATGCAGATAATTTAAATAGCATAGTAGTTCAAAAAGCCTTTCTCAAAGATGTAGCCATGCCTTCTAAATGTGTTTGATTTAATTAGATCAAACCAGAGGAAGCCATGAGAGTGTGGTGGCCAAGGGAAGAACTGTAAGTAAGTTCTAAGCCTCTTGATTACAGATGTTATTAAAATGTCTCGCCTTTGGGGCAAGCAACATAGATGTATGTGCTCCCAGCTGTCAAAATTCTTCCTTTGGTAGGCTGCACTCTCTTTTTCCCCAGTCAGTTAAATCTTTCTGCTACTGCTCTTAGGTACCTTTAGAGATAAACCATAACCTAGTGTCAAGTCAAATGATAAATTGCTCTTCAGCGTTGCTAATGTGTTGGCCTTAGCATCATATTATGAACTACTATGGGTTTTTGATTTTATAGTTTGTTGTGTTTGTGTGGTTTTGGTTCTTGACTAACATTTTCCTTTTTCTTTCTTGCACAGATAATTCCAGATCCAGCTGGAAAACTGAAGTATTTTGATAAACTAAACTGAGTCTCACTTCTGTTGAATTACATAGGTCACATTCAACTTGATTTTTGCCAATAAAATTTCATTAATTTTGTTACTTTCATGAGTTTGACTAATATGTAACTAGTAGACCAGTAAAGGTCTTGTTGCTTAAACAGGAGTCTAACCTGTGCAAAGCACAGGTACCTCATTAGTTATCAGGGAATGGTCTTATGAAATACATGTTTTCCCTTGTTTAGATGCTTGGTTTTCCCCAAATTTACTTTTCTTAGAATCTCAAGCTTAGATTCATGATTTTTGCTATTGCTAGATTATTTAATTTCTGCAAAAATGTTGTCTGCTGGGTCACATTCTAGGAGCTACAGCTAGAAAAGAGCCACCTGATTATGGTATGTTAGTCCGTAGCCCAGAGGCAATAGCAGCTAACCCAAAAATCAGAAATAAGTTAGTTGCTGAATTAAGTTTCCAGTCTGTCCAAAGCTGGAAAACATGTTGAAACTACTAAGAACGTACCCTACACTACATAAATCAGTACAACTACACTGAAAGAAATACAGCTGTGCCAGTTCATGTGATTCGAGAGCTGAACCATGCTTTTCTATGCTTGTGTTTGTAGTGTACATGCTGATAAGATCAATTCCATTTCACATGGTCTGAATTTTTTCCCTGGCCCTACACTGTTGACATATGTACATAGTGGTTAGTGTCCTGTGCTAATCCACTCATTCACCGTGGCTCCAAGTTTTAAGGGAGTAATTGTAGCCTTTCCCAAGATCAGAATTGATATGTCCAATGTCCATCAGAAACTCTTGTGGCTCGTGTGCATTAATTCCTTCTTTCAAGGGCAAAGAACATCTCCATAGATAACATACTTGTCTGCACTGGAGAACCCTTTCATAAGAATGTCTTTTCCTGCTTCTTCCCACCTCTCCCTCTTTTTAACATGGTGTTCTAGAGTCTGTGAAACTGGAAAAACAGCACCTGAAATCAGTGTCAGCTCTTCACCAGGGTCATCCCTGAAAGGCCATAGAGAAGGCGTCCTCCCTGCTCCAGTCCAGCACCACTACATTATTACTCTTGGATGAATCCCACACTGGTGGGAACTCACCTCCCCTTCCCCCACCAGACCATACAATTCCCTTCCTGTACACAGACACTTCAGTACAGTTCTACAAACTAGACCAGAAGTTGCATTTTCACTGTAAAGTTACCTGATTTTGTAGACACTGGTGAATACTGAGCAGCTTTCTGGAGTACTTGCTACAGCTGCTCGACTTCTGCTTCAGCTGCGATACAAATACCAGCACCTAAGCGCTTGCCTAGGGCAGAGGGAACCACGGCCAGAGCAAGCAGAACTCCGCCAAGCCCCAGCCTCCCTGTCCCTGTGAGGCCCGGGGAAAGGAGCAGTTCCCTATCCCATCCAGGGGGTAATGGAGGCACAGTGGGACCAACGCCAAAGGCTGCTCAAGTGCTGCTCCAGCCCATGTGATCGCAAAGACCAGAAGGCAGCATGTAGAGAGGTGGTTTCTCATGTTACTAGGCTGTAAATCAGTGGCTTGAATTTTACTCAGAATTTTTTTTACATCCTTTATCAACCCTGAAACACCAAAAACATCAACACAGAGAATGTTCAAATAACTCCCAACTGCAGTGTGACAAATGCAGGCCCAGCTATTACATGGATATTCATGAGCAGCCCAAGGCATGAGACAAATCTGCCTGCCTTTAGAAACAGGGCTTGTGCCTTCTTCAGCAGCTTTACCTGCCTCTCCAGCCAGGACAATCTCATGGATATCTAACACTCTCCCAGCAGCAAAAACCTCTGTGGCACCAGGCCAGAAAATGAGCTATTACAAAGACGGAGATATCACCCACGCGTTGAACATGCTCCATCCAGCCCACAGCTCCTTGTGGAGCCAGGCGAGTAGCAAGTTACAGCAACAAAACCACAGGTTGTATCCCTGTAGCACATACAGCAGTGAGAGCATCAAACAAAAGCAGATGTTGAAAGCTGTACAAACCCTCAGCCAAGAAAGGAAAAAAGGACTGAGAACACTTACTGACTGAAGAAAACTGAGGCCATCTGAACACTTTGAACATTGCAGAATTAGGTCTACAGCAGAGTATGTGTGCCAAATTTGAAAGCCCCAGCCCTCTCAAAGGAATGAGCTAAGGAGTTACTTTTTTTTTAAAAGCAGTTCAGTAGGAATAAAAAGTCTTAGGGAAATAGTCCTTAAGCAAAGACCTGAGGTCACTATGTCGCATTACATATTTGAAATAAAAGATTATTTCTATGGAAAGAGAGAATGGGGTTTTGCAGAGATTTGGATATACTGGTAGGGAAGTTTAGGAAGGAAAAGACTGCGAAAAAAATGCAAAAGTGATAGTGTTTGAGGAGGAGAAGTGAGAGTCTGGGAGTGGAAACAAAGGTAGATTCTCAGTTACACACTGCCTCCAGGAAAGAGGGAAACCAAAGGACAGGAGATGAGATCCATGAATAGAATAATAAAATTGGAAACTCGGTGGGGGCAAGGAGGAAGAAACACTTTAGTTTGTGGGTTTGGGATCAGAAGGATTTGCAGATCATAGAATCACAGGATCATTTGGGTTGTCAGACACCTTAAAGGCCACCTAGTTCCAACCCCCCTGCCATGTGCAGGGACACCTTCCACCAGACAAGGTTGCTCAAAGCCCCGTCCAGCCTGGCCTTGAACACTGCCAGGGAGGGGGCAACCACAGCTTCTCTGGGCAACCTGTGCCAGTGCCTCACCACCCTCACAGGAAAGAATTTCTTCTTTATGTCTAATGTAAATCTCCCCTCTTTCAGTTTAAAACCGTCACCCTTCATCCTATCCCTACACTCCCTGATAGAGTCCCTCCCCATCTTTCCTGTAGCCCCTTTAAGTACTGGAAGGCTGCTGTAAGGTCTCCCCAGAGCCTTCTCTTTTCTAGGCTGAAAAACCCCAACTCTCTCAGCCTGTCCTCATAGGGGAGGTGCTCCAGCCCCCTGGTCATCTTTGTGGCCTCCTCTGGACTCCCTCCAACAGGTCCGTCTCCTTCTTATGTTGGGGTCCCCAAAACCAAGCACAGCACTCCAGGTGAGGTCTCACAAGAGCAGAGTAGAGGGGCAGAATCCCCTCCCTTGACCTGCTGGCCACACTTCTCTTGATGCAGCCCAGGATATGGTTGGCTTTCTGGGCTGTAAGTGCACATTGCTGGCTCATAGTTAGTTTTCCCCACTACTACCCTCAGGTGCTTCCCTGCAGAGCTGCTCTCAATCCACTCATCGCCCAGCCTGTATTTGTGCTTGGGATTGCCCTGACCCGTGCACAGGACCTTGCTTGGCCTTGCTGAACTTCATTGAGGTTTGCACAGGCCCAACTCTCAAGCTTGTCTTGACCCTTTCAAATGTTGGCACAGAGAGTTGAGTCTAAGAACCTGATTTTCAGCTGCTGGTTTGAAAATGATGACTCACATCATGGCAACCTCAAATGAATTCTGATAGACCAGGCAATGCCACCTGCAATGGTCTCTCACAAAAGATTAACTGACCAAACAACAGAGTGGTCTGTTCTTCCAGCACTCTTCACCTGATGTTTGAAATAGTGGAAGAATTAAATCTCACACAACTCTGCTTCCCAAATCCTGAGATGTATTCATGTGTCTCTCTTGGAATTGAATGAAACACTGTCTTCAACTTCCACTGATGTTTCAGGCAAGCCTCTCGCATGCCTTGACTGCTCTCTCAGCTGTTAAAGAGAAACTTGATAGGGTGCTGAGCTCGGCAGCTAAAAGCCACCTCTCCAAGCAGGACAGACCTAGGCTGGGGTAGGAACTTTTGTGACCCACCCCCGTTTGGGACAGGTACTCCAGCAAGCCTACCCCACTGACCACCACCCACCAGTGCTGCCCCACTGCCTGCAGATGCTCTGAGCAAGTTCTGCCTCCCTAGCAGCCAGCCCTGCCTCTCCTGCACTGCAGAGCCCTGCACTAGCCTCCCTGCAACACCTGTAAGAAGAAACTCACTTTTAGCAGCACAATTCTGGAGGTCACCCCCTCACAGGCACCCCACCAGCTGAACTCAGAGGGCCCGAGTGACTGCTCGCTGCTGCAGGGACCACACCTGAATTTTCTGCTGAACAGTTACCAGATAAAGAAGTGACACTGTGAGCAGGGACCAGACCCCGTACCACTGTCCTTTCTGAGTGTCCCAAGTACCAGTCCCCAGAGGCACGCTCCCCTCCTCCAGAAATCTCCCATTTCTGCTACATAACAAAAAAATAAGACAGTAAGGAGCAGCTAATGCCCAGAAGTGCCTCCAGCCTCATGGATTGGAGCCCTGCAAGGATAAGGATCCCCTGCTGTCAGGGAAAGTGCTCCATTATATTTTCTGTGCAGGTATTGTCATCCAGCTACACCTTCCACAAAAGGCATGCCCCCGGTTCTCTTTCGAGAAATCTGCATATTTACCCTTTTATCTTCCTGTTAGCTACTGCCATGCCCGTGAAGAAATCATCTCTCCCACACCTAGTTAAAAATGCATTCAGAGGATCAACAATCAAACAAGTCTGTCACCAGACAAAGGCTCGACTGAACCTGCAGTAAAACCAATTAAGCATGCAGTAAGTTTAGAGCAGGTTTCTGAACTAAAACCCTTGCTCAGTGGCCCATGCTGTAGCAGCTCCAGTAAGCTTCTTCCCAGAACACTGTACACCATAACGTAGCTGCAAAGGAATCGTGCACATTTGAAGGAGGGCTACCAGGAGCTGTTACAGTAAGTCTGAGTAATTTATTTTTTTTTAAACTCAGAAAAATAAAAACATTTAAACCAAAGTGCTTTTTCAGGCACTGAGCTCAACCAGTCCCACAGAAATTTCCTTTTATATCACCATTAAGGGAGAGGATTAGGGGAGGCAATCCAGCTACCACAGGATTCCCCCTCCTCCTCGCTGTATTCCAAGACATGATGGGCACAGAAACATTCAGTTCCCACTACAGAGCCACAGCCAATTACATAGATAGGTTCACTATAAATAAACAGATTTTCTACTAATACCTTTAGGCTTGTGTGGTAATGGTTAGTCACTTACAGTAGTGACGAATGGTCATTGAGTTGCAATGTAAACTCAATGTTAATTAGTATGTTACTTTAATTCTGAATGTGAGATCTCAGAACCATTTTATCATACACAAAGATATACAACGATGTGCATAAATTATACTCTTGAACAAAGATACATTTAGCCTATTATCAGAAAGCGGAACAATTTGGAGTGACCTTCTCAGAGTAAAAAATATGTGAGCACATATTTTATGTCTTTCTGTTTATTGCTGTATATATTTTATATCTTTTACATATGTATATACACACATACACATTCTGTATGACGTACATACATTTCTATAACTACTGTGATTGTGGTACATGATTAAGTTATCATGAACTTCAACAGCACAGTAATTCTTCTAAGCATCTTCATTTGCAGGATTCATTTTCTTCACTGTGTCCAGAGGTTCTGATGTCACACCTTGACCCCTACTCTATTAACCTCTTTTTCTCCCCTCCAATCCCTTCCCGAAGGTTGAATTTAGAAATTATGATAAATTCATCTTCAAATACAGCTGAAAAGTCAGTAGAGAAAGAACTTGGTACCCCCTTAACTTAAAAATGTTACACAAAAGTGACCAGGTAGGACCACTGGGTCAATGGTAAAAATCTGCAGATAATCAGAAGTAATACATAGGTCTGAAATAGATCCCTCCACTTCCGGCCTTCCTACTTATTTTTTAACAGCTAACAGTGACCAATGTAGCAACAGGGGAAAAAGCTGGGGTAGAATTTCAGTTCCTTTATTTGTGTGGTCAGTCAAGTATATTGAGATTCCAAAGAGTTTTAAAAAGAAAAACAGAAAATACAATATATATCCACAGTGTCATAATCATTAAAGAAAAAGATTATATCATCATACAGACTGCATCAGCACTGGAGCATGGCTAAAGAGAGAAACTCCATGTAAGGAACCAAGAGCTTACTATCACTGTGATGCATTCACCTGATCTGTATCAGGCAACACCCTTGTGCCTCTACTGGAAAGCGATCTAACTTACAGATAAAGGCAGCCAAATCTAAGAAAGGAAAGGCTGATGTATGACATGCTGGTTTTTACAACGCTCACCATCCTGACATGAATAGCAATCAGCTGTTAGAAGTCGTGACCTTCATGCTATTCCAGCACCAAAGGAAGCTGGTCCTAACTGTGAATGTCTCAAACTTTCTTATGCAGAAGTAAAATTTCAACATGTTGCTTTATTTTATCAACCTGTTTCATGCATCTGTGCTGATTCACATGAATTCTACTTGCTGCTTCCTGATTTCAAAAGATTTTAAACCTAACAAGGAAGCCAGAGTCTATTCTTATGTATTATAAGACATCATATTTCATCCATTTAACCTACCATTAAGTCCAACTACTACTCTTTGGGTGTCTTGATGAGACAGGGTATCAGTCTCGATTTGAAGGTACCACAGGTCCAATTTTGTGCTTGTGTCTAATCATTCTCACTGCTAGAAGTTGATGCCTCCCATCCACTCACCTTCCTAATTTCAGGATGTTGAGCTTTATCTGCCAGATACTGGAGATTATTAAAACTTTATCCACCACATCAGAAGCACTTCAGTATCAAGTCCTGTTATTTATTTGCCATAGTTAAATCCACCATGGTGTCCCCTCTGTGGTGGGAAGCTACTCTGTCCTTCACAGGTAAACTTGACAACCTATAAAGCTGTGCAATATTCATGTTTCATTACAGTCTACCATGGAACCAGACAAATAATCCATCTGAGGAGGCTGTCCTCTAGCTGTATGATAAAAAGTCAGTGCGATAAAAATCCCCCCACCATTCAGCAGCTGACTTGGGAGCTGGTCAACACAGATTCTCTGGACCCCTAACTCCAGCATCAAACATAACCATTACCATTTTAGCAGCATTTTACCGTTCCTGCTCCCAGTCCCTAACAAACCAAAGTGCTATGCTCTACAGTGCCATTTCCTAGTCCCACCCAATCTCACCAATCAGATCTCAACTCTACAGACCGTGAGAAACAATTCATTAAGGAACTCACAGTTACATCAAAAAAAAAAAAAGTTAGAAGAGGCTGGCAAAGATTGGCTGTACGCAAACAAAATGCCAGAAGAGACCATCTGGCCACCTCATTTCACTGCAAAAATCAGTTTCCTCCCACAGCAATGTCAAACTATCCAAAAGAGGAGCTACAATGACCTTATAAAATCCCAGCTGATGGGAAACACCTGCTTTACATTGTGCACACTAGTAACTTCCAAGTTTATGCTGCTGCCCAGATACATGTGTCCTTGTCAAAAAAAAGACCCTAAACCTAATTTACACAAAAATGTAGGTCAAATGAATTCATCTGTGTGTATCTACTTACTGCACACATTCTTCTGACAGAACTTCTATCCCTTAATAGGGAAACACAAAAAAGAGCTACTAAGGGAAAGAAGGCAGATGGTGACAAGCAAAGGTTGCAATGAGATCTCTCAAAGCAGACAAAGAGAAGCTATCTAAAGCATAAGATTGTATTTTTTCAGCCTTTTTTTCCTAGCATCAGCATGTAAAAGTAGCTTTCAGCAATTCCTAGTAGCAGAAAATAAAAAATCCAAATATACGGAAATACATAAATAGCACTAAAAAGGTGGGGTTTGGGGTTTTGTTTTGGGGTGGGTTTTTTTAGTATTGCAAACACCTGTCAGCCATCTCTGGTGACAACTCTTTCCAAGACAGCATACTGCTACACTGCTGATGCAGCCTTCAGCATGTCAAATGTCTTTCATGATTGCAGCAAAGTGTCGTTTCCCATCTAAATACAACATGGACTCTGAAATAAGGTGGAGAAAAGAGAGAACCACATTAGTAACTCAGTATCAGTACTACAGCAACTACACAGAATGGCAAGATTATGAAGCAATCCACACTGTCATCAAAGCATAAAATAAATGTGGCTTGCCATAAAATCCTGTTAAATTATTCAAATGCCAACAGTCCACCTACTAAAATGACCAGTGTTCCAACGGAAAGCAAGTCATCTTGTCCACAGAGTTATGATGACAATGCATTAATTGGATACTTGCCTCCGTAAGTTTTGGGGACAACCTGTGGGACCTCATTTTCTGATATAAATGTAAAATGGAAGATATTTGTTGTCTGGTGTTCCCTGGTATCTGCATCATAAACTTCACTGTGTACTCGAACCTGGATGTAGTTTTTTTCTGTGTAACAGACCTGCACAGTTAAGATAAAAGTTATAGTTTGTAATTTATCACTGGCACTGAAAAGCTGTTACAGACTTCCTTACACTGTTTAACAATAAAAGTCACACGCTCTCATAATGCACTGTTCATTATCAGTGATTAAAAGTCACTACAGCAAACTTTTTCTCCTACCTGTCCAGAAAGCAGTAATAAGGATCCAACTTCAACTGGCCTCTGAAACATGATATCGTCAACAGATACAATAAAAGGTCTGGAACTCCTGAGCAAGAAAAAGAGAAATTTCTTCTCAAGAATAATGAGGGTGTTTGGAGAAATTTAAAATATTTCATTGTCAGCATTTTAATGAAACCTCTCATGCAAAAAATACACACTCTCTAAAGATACATTACTGCATCATTACTGTATCTTATGACTTACACTTGCTAGGCAATCTTCATGCCATCAATGCTTAGGCCTCAATTTTCCAAGCACTGAAATAAAACACTTTCTATCAGGCTATGCATGCTCCATTAAACCTATGTATAGATCTTTGTTGGGTGATGACCTCAGTCACACTTTTTAAGCACAAGCAGTTACTGGAAGTTCAGAAACCACTTCTCTTGTGTATGGAATGAAAAGATGTAATATATATTTGATAGAATGTCTATTTTATATGTTTAGAAAGAAAACATATCTTCAAAAGTCAATCTCAATAACTTGGTAAGATTAAAGAAAACAGAAAAAGGATCTATCTTCTATCTTGACATGCAATGCTTAAAAACCAAGCTCCAAGGACCAAGATGCAAATCTCTTCATAAATACAAACAGATGCTCTAAGTAAAATAGTGCTGTGCACTAACAGTGCAAGATCCTACTAGATAGCTAGGTCTTTTCTATTCTTAGGTTGGTTACCTTGACTTCTTAACCTACGTATATGTGCACAGGGCTCTGGATTATATACATATTGCAGGCCTACAACTCACCCATAGCTGCAAGCAGTTGCCCATCCCAGTTCAAATGCCTTTCTCATGAGAAAACCCCCAAAGATTCTATTGAAGATGTTCCGTTCCTGTATGTAGGGAAAAAAAAAAAAAATCAAACTGCTGTATTACATATATTCTTTTCAAAACACTGTGTTGAAGTCAACACTTCAGTTCATAGCATTTAACAGAACTCCCAGCATCTGAACATATAAAAAGCACTACTGAAATATATATGCAAAAATCAAAATGGTTGAGGCAGCTTAATAGGAGTTCATCCAACTCATCTGACAATGTAAGATAAAAACTCCAAATTGTTTCAGCAAGTAGAAGCCCAACTTAAACACTCTGCAAAGGAATTTCTTTATAGAAAATGAAAGAAAACAAAGTAAAAATCTTCTATTTGCAGTGGCAATCCATACAGATAATAAAAAAATGGTAAAAGAAACTAAGATCAAAATACATTGCAAGGATTGCAGAACAGAAACAAAATAATGGCTTGACTAGTCTTACAAGACAAATCATAAGTAACTGTTTCTGTAATTCATTCATATTTTTCAAAATACCTGAGGATGGCAAATCTGTAGGCCTTTTAGCTTTGCATCTTCCATCCACACTGAATTGGGTGGTAATTTACGACTCCGGAAACTTACTGTCCTTTGGAAGAGATAATAAACTTTACAGCCCACATTAGCCAAATTCAGCAAGTCAAAAATGCACAAACAGCAAATGCAGACATACACTAAAAAAAAAAAAAAAAAACCCACCCAAAAAAACCCCAAAACCCAGAAACGGTATCACTTAACAGTGTTACAACTAACCTTGAAGCCTTATCTAAAATGATACTCTGATTTGTTATTGCAATAAGCCTACACTCTGCTCTTTCAAAAACTTCTGCTTATGTTTAACCTTACGTGAATGAACCAGCTTGAGAAAGGTATGCGAAAGAAAAGATGAATCACAACCACAAAGCTCACACTCTGTCAGAAAAGCCTTACTCTGCTTTTTGACCCATAATATGAATTAAAAGCACACAGTGAACTAACAGAGTATGCAGATGGTTCGAGGTTTTCAAATCCAGACAGAATGCATACAAAATACACCTGCTAATTTTAAGGGAAAGAGTGTCTCAGTTTGGTAAACTGTTTTGAAAATAACAATTGTTTAATGTTAGTAAATTATATAAATTATAAATTATCCACAAATACAACATTGCACTAATGTTATTAGGCACTGTTCACCACTGGCACTGGATGATTTCACACAAAGCTCAAGTATAAGAGAAGTATGCCAACAACAGTCCCCCTCAAATAATGTTGTCAGGTATTATATTTAAAACACATTGCAAGGTTACCCAGTCAAAATATGGCTAATTCCTTCCCTGACAGGTTTTTTTTCTAAATATCATGGCAGAAAACTCCTTGATTATGCAAGTCACACGGCTGCAAAACCATTCCATTCCCTTACTTGGTTAAACATCATTAACCTTTTTCCTCAAGATTATTCCTAACAGCTTGCTCAGAAGCATTTTGTGCTTACACTATCACTTTCACCATCTTGGCACTGCTAACACTTTAACAGACTCTTGTAAGAGATGCAAACATCATATTAAAGTTTGTACCTGTGTTTCAAATAAAATGCCACTGAATTTAAATAGTTAAAAGGGAAAACAAAATATGTGTGTTTATTCCATGCTACTCTCTTACTAAAAACCACTCAAAAGGCACATCATTTTTCTCTTTCATAAGACTTTAGTCCTCCTCCACCCCTCCCCTTCTTGCCTTGTGTCCAATGTATTAAGGAATATGTCATGAATAATTTTCCTTTCTTCTGCAGTGGGAGCCATTTTCAGTAAGGAAGCAGTGCTGAAATCAATCCTCTTCAGCTTGTTCACTAAACGCACACACAAAAAATCGTATTACAGTTCAAAGAAAAAGGGGAAAAAAATGGCTTTGCTCTCAAGATTTTAACCTGGAATGAGCTATCTCTTTCCTTTTTCCCCCTGTAAGTTAAAAGCTGTAACTTCACAGTCCCATAAATTCAAACAGAAGTTTGGCTTTTAGAATTGACTACAAATTAAAAATAAGGCAGAAGTTCACTGTTACCTCACCAATGTGATGAAGACATTTTATACATATTCTATGACACCCACCCACCAGTCCTACAGAAAACTTAAGTACTCCCCTCAAAGTACAGAAAAACATATCAAACAAGAAACCCTACAGAACAAACAATCCTCTTCAGGTTTTGCCAGTGGTACAAGAACGTAAATTTATGATAGAACTTATCACCACAGGCCACACTGATGGAAATTTTAGCTTAAAAGATCTTCTGTTCAGTTTATTCAGTTTTTAATATTTCTCTAATTCCCTGATTTAAAATTCCAGCTTGAAACAAAAGAAGATGGAACTACACACTCCTTCCCTGGCTCTTCCCCCTTCTTTTGGAGTTTCCTTCCAAAAGGAACATGGGACCCCAGACAGGTACGGAGCTATGATGCACCTAGTAGACCCACCACGCAATCAATCACTCAGAGCACAAGGAAACCCTGCCCTGCACTCAGATCTGAGGTGCAGTGAGCATCCTGGAAACAGAGGGGTCTAGTGAAGGCGCAGAGCACATCAGGAGTGCCCTTGTCTGTCAGTTTTGCTAAAGAGTTTCCAAGAATGTAAGAGGCTTTTAAACTCTTACTGACAACACGTGACAGAACAAAAATCTGTTTTTAAACAAATTAGGAGCATTTGTAAGTAGCAGAACTTCTGAATTTTACTTCCTTCCAGCTATTAAGTTGAACCTGAGGCAGATGTGTATACTACCAAGAAATATGACATACATTCTCCTTGCTTGAAGATTTCTTCCTCCTCAGGGCTCTCAGTAACAAGTGGATTAACAAACGCTGGCCTATGGACAGGAATTTTTTTTTAAGTTACAAACTTTACAAGAATTTGTCCTGTAAATATGTTATAACAGTCTTCCTTTTTTGCTTACATAGACAATACAAGATGAAAAGACAAACTTCAGGTTATATCATAGAAATAAATATATTATTTCATAATGTGCAGCTGCCAACAGTATAACACATTGGTTTAAACTCTGAATAGGCAGTTGAAGTAATCCAACCACTATACAGTATAACTCAGAAAGTGATAAGGGGTGAATCCATGCTTCTTAAAGAGCTAAAACTGTATCCATAGATTATAATGAAGATTATTCAAGCAGAAAGCTGTTTAGAAACTCAGCAAATGAAGATGTGATGATCTAGGATAGTCTAAAACAGATATACAAAACTTGAATGGTATCATTCCTCCTGGAATAGAAAGAGCACAGTGCCGTAGCTAGCAAGCATTCTTATAATCTACATGTTTCCATGACAGCCTTATCAACAGCCAGAAGCTGTTTACCGCGTGTACCACTTATCAAAGAGGATGATAGGAGGCTGCCTTGAGCACAAATTTGTATGTTTATTTTACTGCACAAATAAGTTTACTCTAACCTCATTATATAACATTTAATTATTTCTTTTCACAAAGAAAGTCAAATATTTATTTTCAAGAGCCATTCTTCCCCATAATTTCTAATTACTATTTTTCTGTTTTCCACATTTATACAAATACTCAGAACAATATATATATATATATATATACATACACACACACAAATATCTGCTGAACAAATCACCTCTACCCCAAGTATTTACTCAGGCTGGTGACAAGAGACATGCAGTGAAGATCTTTTCACTTGGAACAAACTGCTCTTTCCTGGTTTGCTAAACCTCTGGATTTTGGAGACACACCAGCTTCTTCTCCATCTTCTCAGCTCAGGACACATTGGCTTTCGTGTCCAAGCCCCAGGCTGCTGACATGCAAGCTTGCAATGGTCCAAAAGCCACACGACCATGTTTCTGTGGCACTATAACCAATTCAACATACCCTGTAGCCCTCTGAAAGGTTTTTACCTCACATAGAATAAATGCCCTCCTTATATGGACAGAATGCTTCCAAAACACAGCTGGCTTGTGGCCAGCTGGCTTGAAAAACAGCCACTGAAGCTTGTATCTATCTGCACAAGTCCATGTAGGCTTGTCCTCAGTCAATCTGCGAGTGTATAATTCCATCAGATTTTATGTAATTGTTTTGCAAGCAAAGCTCCTTCATTAAACATATCCCTCTTCATTAAATACAGGCAATTATTTAAATTAGTTAGAAACAGAAAATTGTTTATTACTTTTGCAGGCTATACAAGTAAGAGGTAAGAAATACAACCAATTTTTCTGGTGCTGGAATCATAAACCAAAACTGAAACTGAACAGCCTGTTAGTTTAATGACCAAGAAATTACACAGAAAGTAAACCCCAAAAATAAGAAAATTTGCTGGGTTTTTTTTAAAGTTCTGTGGGAATACTTATCAGTTCCATGTTACTTACATAAGCAAGTTTTAGGCTGAATTATTCTGACCTATCATGTATCTATTAGGGAATTACAGTACTATTCACTCAAAGACTATTTAACCATTGAAACTCAATCTTTTCCATTTTTACGGCAAGAAGGCAATTAATTCTAACAACTACTAGATTGCAGGTAGGTTTCCAGCAGACTCACTCAATTCTGCGTTCATCAGACCGGTTATTCAGGCACAAACAAAATCTGTTCAAGAAAAGGGTCAGATCCCAAGAGTAACAACAATTCCTAGTGTCATCTCACTGCTGAAAGCAATGCTCTGAAGCTTGCTGCAGGAAAGTAACACTTGCCAGCAGAAAACACTGACTATGTGATCTATTTATCACCTACACTGTATGGCCTCTACACATACATGGCAAGCTGACATGTTTGCTATTTTCACCACAGCAGGAGTCTGAAAACTATTTTTCTGTCCTACAAATTACCGTTTATTCTCTGGATCCCGGGCCACCATGACAAAGGTTGCATCTAACACAGGGCTGTAATCACCATCATGTAGCTAAGAGAGACAGGAAAAAATTATATTTTTAAACTCTAAAATTGTAAATGTGTTTATCAAGCTATTCAGCTGACATCAACTATGCCATCACACTGTTAATGTTGTTTATTTTCATGTATTGTCATCCCTTACAAGATCTCTCACAACAGGTCGAAGAAAAGGAAATAACACAAATTAAAACTCGAGTTTCAGGAATTCTGCAATGTAAACATTAAACAGGGAATGCTTATTGATTACTACCTTCAGTTGGAAGGGGAGGAAACACAGGCATTGTAAAAGGACCCATTTACCCTTTACTGTGAGAAATGTCAAAGCATTTTTTGTCAATACCAAATTGCCACAAATGCCAGCATTGTGAGGAGTTCTGACAGTAAAGGTGTAACGTTATTTTCTACATCAGAGACTTTACTTAAGGAGACCAACTGAATAAACAGAGATTTACCTCTTTATCTGAATTATAGCCACTAACACCACTTAAGTCTTTATAGCCTATCTTTGTTAGTCTAACTTAATTGACCTTTCAGTTAACTAATCAACTGACAGTAAATATTCAATAGAAATGTTAAGAATTTTTAAATTTAATTATTAATATTCCTTCTGTTTACTGAACAGTGTAACCTAGCTACCCTTCATTTACTTTCTATTATTTAGTATTTAATAACTTATTACAAAAACTATGCTACACAGTAGATAAGATGAACGCAAGAGATACAATTTAATACTGAATCTGAGTATCAACATTAAAATTTATAAATTATAAAATGAAAAGGTATAAGGAAAATAAAGTTTTTCAAAAGCAGGGAGAAATTTGTTTAAGAACATGCAGAGCACAGCCACCAATTTTTTCTGTAGGGAGTACTGTGTTGCAATTTAATTACAAAATGCTGGTTAAGAAAAATGCATCTCTTGAAAGAAAGATTAGCAACAGAGTATCTTGCTGCACCTAGACTACTGGAAGTCACCTCCATCTTGAAACACAAGGGCTGTCTCAGGTCCTTCAAAAACAGTTATTCTAGAAAATATAATTTAGATTGCTAATGCCGCCATCCAGAATTCCCCTTGAAGCACCTCATGCCTGTCATAATATGGAGAGAAGTCACAGGAACTAACCTGCAGCATGTGCATCTTCACTTCCATTGAGGTCCTCCCAACCCAAGAAACATTGCCTGTGAATTTGATGTCACAGTCTGGATATATAATCTTCTTGCACAAATCTACAAGACAAACATTAGAGGTTACTGAAGACAGATCACACATCTAATATTAGAAAGACCAGACACTCTAAAACCTTTTTTTGTTCTGCAAGTGGCAGCACAGACAAAGACAACACAGGAGCGTTGTTGCAAGGGACCACACTGCTAGCCTGCAGTTTCTGCCTTTTCAGATGCCTACAACCAGAACAGGAGAAGGAAGCAGGCACACAGGAGGCAGACAGACGGCAGACTCACAGAGGCGTTCAGCAGGACATTCGACACAAGCAAGGTCCAACCCCACCAGAACAAACACTGTTCAATAATGCAACTAAGGAAACTCACTTGCCAAAATAAAACCAAACACAGAAGTGCAGGAAGCATGAAAATTGTATTTTGAAGGGAAGGGAAATACAGAAATGGTGAAAAGAATCTACAAAACCCTCTTCCCTCCTCCCTTCAACAAAAGCCACAGTGCTGAGTTCAAAGCCAAAACAAGATGAAGTAAACTAAACAGGAGAGTGAAGAAATTATCCTCAGTAACAACCATGGGAAGGCAGTAGCTGCTGAAAGAGTAACGCAAACAGATGAAACCATTTCTACTGACCAAATTGCCACTTACTGATTTTATCCACCAGAGCTGTAACTATTGATAAGGGAGACCTTGGCTGCATTTCCTGCTTGGTGTGAGTGTAGCAAATAAGAACTGTGGAGAGACCAAAAACGGAGTCAGCTCTTTAACAGAAACCTCAGTGGAGCAGATCAAAGTCATCTTTGTGAAGCATGAGGAATACCTGCAAAACACAAACTGAAGTATCATACTGTAAGAGTGCACACAACTTCCACATTTTCATGTATGTAACTCACAGGATTGCTATTAAAAAACCCACTAATTCAGCAGATGTCTCAGTTATCTGCATATTTACATACCACACAGAGAAATTCAGCTGAGCACTTTAAATCAATCCATCACTCTCAATCCAATGTAATCTCTTCCCTCTACCCTGCAGCCCACTGTCTCAGATGCTTCCTACCCTCTATTTTATCATGCAGGTTGTCCAAGGATATGTGACGAGGACTTATTTTCAAATTCATCTTTAAAGAGGTGCAGATTAGATAAACTGTGCCTTACAGGCATGAAAGCATAGTCAGAGGTATACATCATACTGTAATTACTACTAGCCAAACCACTATTTAAATTGATTTTCTGTGCTCTTAAGAGCACATCCAAGTAAACGTGCTCCTTAGAATAATACGAAGTTGCAAATACTTATTTTTTCCAGTATTCATATGATTTTCCCTCAACACAGATTTACATAGTCAAGAGTATCTGTGTGTACTTAAGGAGAGATAAGAGAGAGGGACAAATTCTGTCCTTCCAGGTAATCTAAGATTTTTTTTTTCCCTAAAATTACTGAAGTCACAATTCTAAAAACTGTTATGCCTATCAATTCATGACATCAATAAGATTAATAAGAGTCTGAATGGGATTTATCCAAATCTTATTGCCAAAGACAAAAAACTAGAAGTCGATCAGACCTTTATGCAGTACATCTGCCAGATCACAGAATATATTGGGGCAGGGCAGAAGGGAGATGAAACAGTACATTTTCTTGTGAAAACTACTGACCAGCATCCTGAATACTGTGTTATTGGGACAGAATCTTGATAAACCCGAATCGATACATCCCCAGTGGAACTTACTTTGAAGCCCAGTACAACTACAAACAAGGCAAAGACATTCTGTGCCGCAAAAGCAAAAACTTAAGATCTTCACAGATTTCCAGGGAAAACAAACAAGGCACAGAATGAAAAACAGGCTTATCTCATCTACCAATGAAGGGTAGCCAATAGTTTCAAGTTTCCTTTTCTAATTAAGGACAGGTACTGAAGCCAGTATATTCTACATCCCAGAAATAAATATAAATTATCTAGCTATCTTGTCTATCCTTGATAGACAGGTGACATGCATTCACTTGTTTCTTTGTCTTCTCAGTCTTGCCCATCTGGATCCACAGAAGGGCTTTCTTTCCTACTCAAAAAAAAAAAAAAACAAACCAACCCCTATTCTATTCAGAACTTTCTGTTAATAAGCACTTACTCTTTGTCAAAAACCTCCATCAAAATGCTCCCAACCAGCTACAGAACTCTGATGAAGAAGGAAGTCAGCTGGTGACATTTTAAGGTAAAAGTATATCTGAGTTATAAAATATTAATGACCTAGCTCTTATTTTATCTGCAAAACAAAAGTCAAGGATCTTGACCTTTTAAAGACCATAAATAAATGAAAAGGAGAAAAAAAAAGCCAACTCATGAAACAACTGAGTTGTTTTTACCCTTAACATCAATTTGGAGACAGAACCCAAGAATCTATATCAAGTGGTTTTGATTTGTTCTCAACGGATACATTCTGTTCTTTCCAGATTACACTCTCCTTTCCCCAAAGGGAATATTAAGATATCTGCACCTCCCTATCTGTTGGGTTTTGTGATTTTTTTTAAAGCGAAATATCTTATGTTTTAATTTGAACTAGTGCACTCTGCAAATTTTCTCTGATTTAATATCCAATGCAGATTAATAATCTAGGATCATTTCTCAGTAAATTATTCTTGTAGTTGGTCCTTTACAAAATTGGCAGAGGCAAGAAGCTGAAGCTGAGCAATTTTGCTTCCGTCTGTTCTTTATCATCCTTTCTTCTCTTTCAGCTCTGGTATCTTTCCTTTTTTTTCATTCCCCTTTGATATAGCACCTCGATGTGACTTCCTCCCGCACTGATGTGTCTCCTTCCCTCATACCAAACAGTGCTCAACAGTACTCAAACTCACTTTGTCTGCCCTGCTTGTGCATTCTTTACAAGGGCATAGATACATACCTCCTAAACTGTCAAGATCTTCAAGTATCCTTCCAAACCTGTAAGATATGTTTTTGGACAGTTAAATACCTACATACATAGAAAATGAAAGTTAACGCTTTCCTGTATGTGTAACACAGTTGCTCCGTTACCTTACACTGTTGTGTACATTCAAGTACTTTTCTCTTATTTCAGGTTGACTTCCTAGAGGTAGAATAACTTCCAAGTAGCTATCCTTCATTCTCCTAGGAGGGAGATCTTCCTGTTGTTTTGCCAGTAAAGTATGAAGAGCTTTTCTTTCTTGCATTGCTTGCACATGATCCCTGGTAAGAAAAAAAAAAAAACAAACCACTCCGTCTGGAGTATTACAACAGAACTGCAACCCTAGCTAAAAGATGGCACACTGAAAATTATCAAAATAAAACCAAAAAAAATAGTAAAAATAGGAAGACACAGTGAGCACGCCTTGAAAAGTAAGTAAAATGCACATGATGAGATATACTAAGCAAAACTACTGCAGAAAACTTAAATAGTTTTGTGTACAAGTGGAAAGCACATACTTTGCACAAGAGATGATCTGAATGCTACCAAAATGGTTCCCCTTGAAAAGAACAAATCAGATGTAATTTAACCTATGAGGTTCTGTGCATATTCATGTCTTCCATAACTACTGTATCACGACTCTTCCTACAGTGCCAATTTAAAAGGACTGTCAACTTACAATCCCTCCCAAGAAGTAAAGCAGATGTACAGTGTCAGTTAGTACTAACAACAAAGATAACTAATCTGCTATCATCATAACTAACATGCTATCATCCACAGGTGAGTTCTCCCTCTCCAGCATTAGTTCATACAGCATACACTTCATCAGCAAGCTAAAACAAAGGGAAAATGAATCTATTTCTCTCTCTTTTCCTACCCAGCCATCTATTGACTATACAGCAAAGTTACAGAAACAACACAGAAAAGGAAGCACTACCCCCTTCAGAGCTACTTTTCCAGCACCACCAAGTCAGAGGGGTTGCAACTCTCAGAAGGGAGTAAGGGCCAACTTACTGTCACTTCCTTCCAATCTACCAAGTTGGCTCCTTGCACAGGTATGTGTAACAACCTTGCCCAAGACTCTCTCTTACCTGTTACTCCAGCATTCCCTCCCTTTAAAAGTGCAACCTGACTGAATGAAGCAAGTATTTCTTAACATCCCCAGAATCAACAACAATGCATTAAAAATCTAAGGGTTAAAAATGTAACAGTTCCGGTATAAAGACAAGAAGTACGCAAAACTATGAATCCATCTCATAGAGCAAGAGAAGACATAAAACATTATGTAACAAAACTTCATTTTAAACTTGTGGATGCGTGCCATTCATTCCGTAGTTCATGCTGCATTGTTGAGATATGAGTGCCACTGTGTTTAACAAAACCAATTTTAAAAAACAACTGAAAGAAAATGACAGAAAGAACCTTTTCACTAAAAAGAAAATTTTTCTTAAGCTTTGACTTTGGATGGATTCTGGGTATTAACCACTTCAGATGAAGACTTTTTTGGGTTGAGTTTTATTTTTGGAAAAGTAAAAAGCTGTCACACTTCAACATATTTATATTCCCTCTTTTCTGTTTCATAATTTTTGGGGAACTAAGAATAATCCATGATCAAAGAGAGTAAAAGTCTGGCAGAAAATTTCAATTAGTTTTGTTTGTTTTAAACATGAAATATGGTTTACCTCATCCGAGCAATATGATTACTGCACAGTTCAGAGAAAATAGAAACACCCTCCTCCAGGGGGTTAGTGTTTGAAGTTATGCCACTGCATAGAAATAGAATATACTAGATGACTAAGGAAAGATGCAATGTCCAAAATTATGTACTTTTATGCTTTTTAAAAGATTTGTTTCCAAGGTCTTTCAGTGAAAGGTTCAAGAGAAATTAATTAGCGTGTAAATCAGTAATTTGTCTACAAGAACAGAGAAACCAAAGAATGAAAATTTAACTATATCCTGTTTTCACCAGTCCCATCCTGGCTCCTCTGAGGTCAGCAGCAGAACTCTTCATAACGTCAGCTTCAGAATGTATTCTTCAACATATGGAAGTATTGGGCTCAAGACAATAACATTTTTCAACAGATAAATACTGTTACACACTGCAGTACTAGTCATAGTACTGCAGTACTAGTCATACAGTAACAATACTTCATCTATTAACTCATACCTACCCTAAACATTCTGAGAAATTGCATTATCGATTTCTGAAATGGCCACAAATCTATCTAGATTACAATTAGCAATGAACAGATGAATCATTTTAATTACAATTTAAGTACAAACTCAGACTAAAAATACAATCAAGGTATTTCTTTCTAATACAAAATGCCACTGGCCTTTACAAAAGAAATCATGAACCAAAGTTTCCTTTTAGCAAAATTAACAGCCAAAGACATTCCTCCAACATGCGTCTCTCCTCCTTCCCAGCAATCTAGAGGTATCATTCCTTCCCTAGTTCCAATTTTGGGACCCCTATCAAGTTATTCTCTTAGGTTTGTCCTTTTTAGTCATTCTGTGGCCTAACTCAACTAAAGCACTGGCTGTTCAGTCTCCACATGTATCAATGCTTTGTCACTCCATTTTAAAAGTGGGATCTCAAAGACTACATGATCCATGTCCTCCAAACTTCTCCATCTTAAACTTAGCATTCTTGAGCACTCCCGGCTATGGGCTCCCTGGCTTTACTTCTTCATGGTAGTTGAAGCATACAGTACTCTACAAACCATTTCTGCTGTATTTTATACAGCATAATGGACATACCTATCTCAGAAAAACAGTGCTGTGATGATCCTGGCTTCAGTCTGCTCTCCTTCCAGTGTGGGAGCAGTGGGGAAAAAGAAATGGACAGAAGAGCAAATTTGACCAGAAACCCCTAAAATCTCAATCCTCAGATGGTACTTCCATGTGGTGTGGGTCTTCTCCATCCATTCTGGGCTGCAGAAAAGGCCTTTATAAAAGTCAACTTCTAGAGCCCTTTCAGCTGACCTACCAAAAATTTCAAGCCCCCTTCTGCTTAGATCTAAGCAAAAATCAGCTTCCCAGATGCAGGCGTTTTCTTTAGCGTGCCTATAATCCTGTTTAAATAAACCTAGTCAGAAGGCCTGGACACATCAGACACTCCACCCATGCAAGCCTCTCTCATTTCCCTATCAGTGGACAAAGTGTGAAAGAAGTGCACAGCAAACATAGTCATAGAAAATTAACAATCAATACAATAACTATGTGACCAACCAAACTGCAGTATAATTCCCCCAGACTGCTATATTGCCTTTTTCAGAACTATTAACAGTAGAGGATTACAGTCAACTCTGGCTTATTCAATGTAATGGAGGGGGAGGAAGGTCACCTGAATAAAGCCAAAACATCAATTATTTAAATTATATGCAAATTAATCTAAAATTAAGTTACAGCAAAGAAAAAAATACCTGAGATGCTCCTGACTAAGGAGACACGGATCCCAAGCTGACAGTTTTCCAAAGTGACATAGGTGCTGTCAGGCCATTTGTAATGTGGCCTGCTTCACACTGAACCAGCTCAGCTGCCAATGAATCCAGTGCAGCATAAATCTACCATACGGGTAATCCACCTACACATAAATCAAGAGGTAATAGCAACATAACATTTCCAGCCAGGCTCCATAGCTCTTAAATTTCCATTGGATTCAAAGCTAATGGGAGAATCTTGTACGCATCAAGATCACATATTTTGTTCCTTTGGTGTTTAAGATCTTCTGCCAGAGAAACCTCAGAAGTTTGTGATTCATAAAGTAACAATTCAGAAACCTTGTTTGAATTACTTTTTAGCTGGATCTTTTTTCTTCCCCTGTCAGCAAGCTAACATTGTTAACTTCCACTACCACAATGCTGAGTTCTACCTGGGTTTCACAAATAAAGTAAAATACATTTAATGTACACTGTACCTCCAGTTGGTAGATGCTCCCACTATATCCCTCAATCTGCTCCGCACTGAAAAAAAAAAAAAAAAAAATCAAAGCAAATCAAGCTTAGCTCTGCAAGTGATGAACATGAGGTTGCCTGGTGTAAAAGGCACAATCCTCATCCCAGAACAGGAAAATTAAGCAAATTCATGCAAATAGCAGCCCAGAAACAGAAATTTGGCCAAATTTACTGATGCTGTTAGTAGGCATATCACAATAATGGGTTGAGTAACATGATTCCGTAGCTTATTGTGTATAGCCAACAAAGAGTGTTTGTTAATGCAGTCAAGAACCTGCAGTGCTAATTAATGGCTGAAAGAGCAGATTGAGATCAGATTGAGGAATTTTGATGTGAAAATATTTCAGCCTAAACACAAAAAAACTGTGGAGATAACACAAATCAGAAAGTCATAAAAGAACATAAAAAGGAACAGTGCAGCTAGAAGACAGGGGATGAGAAGAGTACTATTTAAATAATTCCACCCATGAAGGCAGGTAATGTCAGCAGACTGGCTGTTGTCAGCAGGGTTTCGTAGCCTAAATTCTAAGCACTCTCAAAGCACACAGTGTTAAGACACTGAAGCCAGACCTATAAAACTGATTCTGGCACTGTTTGCAACATCAGAATTAACACTAGTTCTGCACAAGTTTTTCCTAAATTTTAAGAATAATTAAGCGTGCTAAGGTCCCCTCAAATCTATCAAACTGCTCCATCACTGTTAGGCTGGTGAATGTATGCTGTTTGGAAACACCTGAAAACAAGCAGCAACAATTCTCAAGCTCAGAACAGAAGTTGAGAATTGTATAGTAGGGATTCCTTGCTTATTTACAAATATTTTTATACAAGGGGGTTCAAATATTAGGACAAAATAGTTAGGGACACGTCAAGGAAGGGCTACCAAAAAAAATCCAAAATTTCATGGTAAAACAGAAAGAAGGCTGCTGGTGACTCACAAGCTGATCATAACACTGAGTAACTTTTGGGTTATTAGACATCATCAGGCTTGGCACTTTTCAAGCTAAATGCCCACTCAGAGTATTCACAATGATCAGCAAGCTGTCCTATGAACCCTGGAGAGAACAGAGCCTGATTTCCTAGGTAAATCACATACCCCACTCCCACTCAGATCCACTCAGCTCTGCCTCCCTCCTCTCCATACAGTCACTTCAGCTTCTGCTGCTTTCCTACCAAAGTGCCCCACACCATCACTACTGCAATACCCCCAGACTCCCCTTTCTCGTTCCTTCCCCTGCAACACCCTCAGCTCCCATCCCTACACTCACAGCCTGCTTTTGTTTCATCTGCCCATGAGCTGTGGTTAGCCCAGAGGCGGGCAAGGGGCTGGCTGCCAGCAGCCAGCACACAGATCCTAGCCACTCGCCAGCTGCCAGCAAACACCACGGTCCGGGGCTGACCCCAACACCAGCTCTGGCACCCTAACAAACCTCTGATTTGGAAGACACTTTTCACAAAGCTTGTGGAAACCACGTTTCTCCTCGAGATTTATGCTCATCTATTTTGGCTGACATCGAGCAACAAAAGGTTCTGGAAGAAGAAGGGGACAAGAAGATAAGCGGACAAAGACAAAATAGACTGCTTAGGCATCAATTCTTTAGGAAATTAGGCTAAAAACATGTTTTGAAATTAGAAGAGTTCTACTACTAAATCTAAGAACAAAAAACTTTTCAACAAAAGAAACTGATTGAAAATTTAAGGTCGATTTTTTTTGGAAGGGGGGAAGGTCTGAAAGAAGCAGCAGGCTTGTTTACAGAATGGGTACTACTTTCCTGTTGTTACTCATACTCCACCTGTGAAGCTGCCATAGCATACATTGGATCAATACAGTGTTAGCAGAAACACTGTTACAGCTTCTAGAACACAAAACCTCAATTTTCCAACAATGTGCAGACTGTGCTGGGATGGAGGGAGAATAAACAGCACTTTTCTCTGTTTAAACTAAGTTCATCTTCCTTTTCAACTTTAAAGAGGTAAAAAGCTCTGAAAAAAATCTCAGGTCCAAACCTGCAAATATATATACACCATTAGACCTATTTAATACTTCTGATTTCAATTTTAAGCGTACAAGTAAACATTTGCCAGGGTGAGACCACATAGTTTTTATTTTAACAATAAAAGGAACAAAGCTTGGAAGTGTTTCCAAGCTAAATCTAGTCCATTTTACAGGCTCCAAAGTGCACAGTTGTTTTTTTGGGAAGTCTTGGGAAGACTGTATCACTCTTCTAGATATTGGTTACCTTACAGCAGAAATTTAAGTAAGTAATTTAGCATAAAATCCATAAACTCTTTTCTTATTTGGCAAATGTATTAAACATGCAAAACAACTACAGCAAATGGAGCTTATCTGTCGTTATCATGTTGCTTATTTCACAGTATACCCTAAACTGTGATCAGTGGATCATTAATGCCAGAACAGCAGGGTCTGAGTTTATTTGCACTGTGTTGTGACAAAGGACAAGGGCAGCAGTACAAGACTGATGCATTTATCTCTGACAGTGAGATCTGTCCCCCCTTGTGCTGGTGCCTCCCTAGGCTGTATCCAGGTTCAGGTAGGCCACTACAGTGTATTTTACCACCAGTTTTGGTACAGACCTTGGTCTGGAGTTCAGTGAAAGATGCAGGTTCAAATGTCAAAAATGAAGCTAAATACTGAAGGAGTTGCTGCGCAAGAGATTTTGTATCCCACAAGCCTCTTAGAAAGGTGTTACCCAGCACGCCACCAGAAACACAGTGTGCTGCCAGAGATCTAGTACAATAATACTGCCACAAATAAGATCACAGCCATTCACTGAAGGCAAAGAGGCTTTAAGCAAGTCGACAGAGAATAATAGCATTTTTCATGAATGCTAAAGTAAGGAAAAACAGTAGCTAAGTTTAGTGTTATAGCATATATTAAAATATGTACAGATTACCACAACACACCATTATTCACATGAATGGGTAAGTGTCCTGTGGAGTGGAAAACACATGTTAGATTAACAATTAAAAGAAACAATGCAAACAACATCTAGTAAGGAGTTAGCTGATTATTCTACCTGCTTGAATTTCACTTACACATATGTTCCTTAATTTTAGTAAGCAGCTGTAGGCAACCTGTCCTTGCCTGATTTACAGTCCGTACTTTTGTATTTTCAACCGAGTTCATCCTTCCCATCAATGCCAGCTTTCCAGTTCCTTTGTATACTGGCTCTATGTAGTATTTGCTTGCAATGTAATTCCAATCTGGTTTTCAAACTTGGTGCTACCATTGTATTGTTGACAAACACTATTAACTTTGGAAATAATATCTGGAGCATTTTTCAGGAAGCAAGATGAGAGTTACCTCAGAGGAAACTTCTAAAGTCCTGCTTGGTGTAGCCTTTGGGGGAACCACGGAAGAAATGAGGGCATTCACAACTGGGACCCAAAGTTGTGAGGAAGCATATGGGAAACTAGCAAGAATAAAGTATTTGGTGTTTTCTGAAAGCATGGGTACCAAATTAACACAAAATAGTTTACGTATCAGCAAAAGTTTGTATAACATTATTTAAATGTTACCATTTTAAAACAGAATCTCAAATATTTACTATAGTTACTATAGTTACTATAGTTACTATAGTCCAAAAAATATGAGCATTCCTTGGAAACAAATCAGAGGCAAGACCAGTATGGCCTCAGTGCTTCACTATTTCTACTGCCCTTCTAGGTGGTATCATTATCAAATATCCAAATAAAAGGGCAGAGTAGAATTTGCAAATATGCAATATTCTGTATCCTTGCTTCTCTCCTTTAACCTCAAAAATTACTATTTAATAACAATAATGAAAAAAGTTATCTGACAATGAATAACCCTTATTTTCTCTTTTACTGGATAATCTGTGGTTTCTATTTAGAGAACAAATGGGAAGATTTCAGAAACAAGCAGGACTTCTTGAAGAAATTATTTATACTTGTCTCCAGCCCTTTTCCTTCTCCCGTTTTCGCAGTACATGGGATTAGAATGGGATTAGAATGCAAGAAAACTTTTTAAAAAGCTTCTGAAACAGGAACATTATGGTTTATTACTATTAGAGCACTAAAACAGTCTTTCAACACAAAGGTCTATTGTCAAGAGCATTTTCACAAAGCAATGCTGCTGATCTGATTAACAGGTTTCTCCAAGTTTACAAAATTAATGGTGCTGACACATCAGAAGTTCTGTAAAACATTATTTCCACTCAATTCCTCCATTTCTTGGCCATTCTCTCCAGTTGTCATAATACCTGTCTGGACTATGTTCACTTTCTATCTAGAGTCAACCTGAGAAGCAGTTGTCCCTCCAGAAAATCATCAGAAAACGCTCTTCCAAGACTAAAGAACCGGACAAGCCTCTAAATCTGCATGATTGTGCATATTTGTTGCCATTAATCTCCAAACATACACAGTGACTTTCTGCTACTTCCACATTATGAACTAACATTCAAGGGCATGTTTATTAGCCAAACCATATTAACACATGAAGGGCCACCACCTCAAAGAATAAACTCCTTAGAAACATTGCTAAATCTTCCAAAGTACAGCCAATTACTTTACCTTCAGACATGTCAGGAAGCACTGGGGAGCCACTGGTCCCAGAAGTGAGTGTCCTAGCCAGAAGAGAAGGAAGCTTCCTCATGATGCACAACCTATAGGCAGAACAGAAGAATTTAGCGTCATCAAAACCAATGCCATCAAAATAATTTAGGATTAATTTTTGGAATGGTGCTGATTTCTTCAGAAACACCGCTCCTTATTTTCAGCCTCATTTTTAGAACCAGATACAATCAGTACAACAGTTCATGCCAGCTGAAACTCCAGCTGATACCTGTCCTTATCTGAAAACAGGAAGGAAGAATAATTTGCTGGCGGTAACTGTTCTCTTCACTGACTATTCAGATGCCCTGGGACAACCAGCTTAAACTAAACTCCAGTTTCTACTCTGTAGACATCCTAACACAGATGGGATCTGTGTGCATCTAGGAAATCATCCATGACGCTAACCATACACTTCTCCTCCACTTGGCTAGTGTGCACGGCGGTGGAATACCCCAAGAAGGATAACACAAGGCTTCCCACACAGTCCCATTCAGCTAAGCCTGGTCTTCTCCATGGCTTAGTACTGCTGCGACTCAGAAAAAGCCCAAAGTGCAGGACATAACCCTTTTAGCTGTTCAGCCAAAGGATAAAGCACAAAACCCTTCAGAGAATGTCATCCACTCAGCAATTCAGTAACTGTTCAACCAGATAGTAGCTAGTGTGACTCCTCCACTATGTAGTGGTACCACAAAAATACACAGAGGGTCAGCAGGAGTAAAACCCTTCCTGACAGTTCACGGCATTTTCCTGACAGGAACGTGGGTTGCCTGTGAGGCTGGGGTTTCACCTCAGAAAAATAGCAAGTCTCCAGGCTCCAAAGGAAAAGGAGGGCCATGTACACGTCTCTATATATACATCCCTCACGTACATACCTGCACATATATATCATGTGCACATAAGCTTCCTCTGGCTGCAGGTATACCAGGAGTACTTAAGGGAGTAAAAGGGAACACACACAAAAAACCCTCAGAAGCCAACGGTGTGCCCTACGCCCCAGACAGGACATGAATGGCAATGGGGAAAACTCCGTATAAGGGGCACAGCTGCTTGGCTCGTGTCTCATGGCACAGTCAGCACACGACTCCCCGCTCGGCCCAGGCTGCGCCCCGGCAGGACCTCCCCAAGCTGGGGACATTCAGACGCGCTGGGGGACGGGACAGGCGCTCCCCCTGCCCAGAGGGGCCAGCACTGACACGGCCAGGCGCCATCACCCGAACCCGCGCTGCCTCCGCCGCTGCTTCAAGTTTTAGAGTGCCACGCCCCGACATCGGCCCGCCGGCCAACGCGCCGAGCCTCCCCTGGCCGCAGAGGGCTGGGCAGCC